TGAAGAATTTCATGAAAACCGAAAATTTTGGAGTACTTCCAACTCTTCAGGATCGAAAAAATCGAAAGAAGATGAAAAAGCCCTTGTCATAGCACGAAATTCTATCAAATTGATCGACAACCAATATGAAATCAAACTGCCATGGAAAAACGACTGTTCAGATTTCCCAGAATCTAGAAAAATGTCATTTCAAAGACTAATGTGTCTTGAGAGGCGCCTCAAGAAGGAAGAGGATTTCGCCGAACTGTACTGCAGAGAAATCGATAAGCTATTTCGAAACAACTATGCAGTTCCCGTTCAAGAAGATGAGATGGTGAAAGAACGCGTTTGGTTTTTACCACATTTTCCTGTGACAAATCCGAATAAACCTGGCAAAGTCCGTGTTGTTTTCGATGCTGCAGCTAGAAGTCATGGTTATTCGTTGAACGACTTCCTGCTTACTGGGCCCGATCTGCTAGCTTCACTTTTTGGTGTCCTGCTGAAATTCCGGATTCATAGAGTAGCCTTCGCTGGTGACATCAAGGAGATGTTCAATAGGGTCAAAATAGCGAGGGAAGACAGCTTTTCTCAATGTTTTCTGTGGCGAAGTCCAAAATCGAAAGAGCCTCCGAAAGTTTATCGCATGACTGCAATGCGTTTTGGTACTACTTGCTCACCATTTTTAGCACAATTTGTTAAAAATCATAATGGTGAAAAATATAGAGCAGATTGTCCTGAAGCAGCAGATGCAATCATCAATTCCCACTATGTTGATGATTACTTGGATTCCACTGAGGATGAGGAGAGGGCGATCAAATTGGTGAATGATGTCATTCGAATTCACGATTTAGGAGGGTTCCAAATCAGGAGCTTCATATCTAACTCAACAAGATTATTGAATAATATTCCCAAACATCTGATATCAGAAAAACAAGTGAGCACTGAAGTCGACGAGAGAACTCCAATCCAGAGAAAATTTTGGGAATGATGTGGAATCCCACTAAAGATTGTTTCATGTTCAAGCTGAAATTCCACAAGATTCCGAAAGACATACTGAACGGTGCCAAAGTTCCTACGAAGAGACAAGTTTTGAAGACAGCAATGTCAGTGTATGACCCTATTGGGATGTTATCACCTATAATTGTTAAAGTGAAAATACTTATTCAGAAGATATGGCGAGCAGGACTGGGATGGGACGACTGCATCACAGAAAATATGTTCAAGAGATGGTTAGCTTGGTTAGAAGAATTACAAATGGTGATGGACATAGAAATTCCACGATGTTATTCACTTCAGTTGAAAGAAGCCCAAGACATCGAACTACATACATTTTCAGATGCAAGTGAAGATGCCTATTCATCAGCTGTATATCTCCGGATGAAGTATGGGCAGAATCATATACAAATTGTACTTGTTACTTCAAAGGCACGAGTTTCACCTCTGAAATCACTATCTATCCCAAAACTGGAGTTACTTGCTGCCGTAATGGGAGTTAGATTATCTACTGAGGCCATGAAACACCTGGAATTCGACATCCGACAAAAATTCTACTGGACGGATTCGAGAACCGTTCTACATTGGATCAACAGTGAGAAAAAACTCCAATCCTACGTATCTACCAGAGTAGGAGAAATTTTGGAATTTACTGAAGTTGATCAGTGGAGATGGGTTCCGACTCTTGATAATGTTGCCGATGACTGCACGATAGAAACATCCGAAGGAAGTATTCATGCTAATCATCGATGGTTCAGAGGACCTGTGTTTCTCTATGGAACTGAAAACAGCTGGCCTCAAATTCAGTTGAAGACAGGAGAAAATACTCTCCAGGAGACCGTGGAAAGCACCTTACAAAATGTGTTGGTGGAAGAAAATTGCTTCGCTCAAATCGTTCCACAAATAAGATACCATTATACATGGGTCAAACTTCTAAGAATCACAGCAAGAGTCCGTCAATTCATACGTCACCTCAAAAGGACGAAAGAAAGAAGAAATATCTTTCTGAGCTGCGACGATATGGTATGGAGCGAGAAACTCTGGTGGAAAACAGTGCAATGTTCAAAATTTTCCATTGATCTCAAGAACTTACGCAAAAATAATTCCAACAGAGATGGTCGTCTACATCAAATGTCGCTTTTTCTTGACAAAGATAATGTCATGAGAGTTTGCAGCAGAATCACAATCACAAGAATAGAGGACATTCCGGCGGGAATTGAAAAAGAACCTATTGTTCTAGATGGTGATCATCCCTATACCCAAAAAATGATCATGCATTATCATGCAAAATATGGCCATCAGGGTATAGAGACAGTCGTAAATGAAATGCGAAGAAAGTTTTGGATTCCACGTCTCCGAACAACAGTGAAAAAAGTTATCAAACTGTCACTATACTGTAGTCGTAGAACTGCAAAAAGTGCTCAACCTGTAATGGGTCAATTATACCTCAGGAGAGACTTTTCAGATACGAAAAACCATTCTGCGCCACAGGATTGGATTTCTTTGGACCGTTCATTGTTAAAGTTGGCAGGCGACACGAAAAACGCTACGGTGTTCTATTCACTTGTCTTACAATTAGAGCAATCCATGTGGAAGTCGCTAATAGTCTCAATACAGACTCGTGCATTATGGCAGTGAGAAGATTCTTGGCAAGAAGAGGAGCTGTACGTGTCATCTGGTCAGATAATGGCACAAATATAAGAAGCGCTAGTCGAGAACTCCTAGAAGCAATGGACGAACTAGAGATGAGCTTGGTGGACGATGAATTGACGAATAGAGGTATTTCTTTCAAGAGAATACCTCCAATATCACCGTTTATGGGAGGTAGCTGGGAAAGGATGATCGGATGTTTTAAACGAGCCCTGAACGCTATACTGAGAGATAGATACCCAACCGATGAGGTCCTACAAACATTTTTCACTGAAGCAGAATACATAGTTAATAGTCGACCATTAACTCATGTATCAGAAAATCCTCAAGATCCTGTAAGTATCTGCCCGAACGACATCCTGCTTGGAAATTCTTCAGAAATTACAACACCTGGACTCTTCACCGACCGAGATTCGATCATGAAGAAACAGTGGCGCACCTCCGAGTATCTCGCAGATATGTTTTGGCGCCGCTGGTTGAAAGAATATCTACCTACCTTAGTGAATCGCACTAGATGGAATCAAACTGAACCCAACATCGAGAAAGGACAAATCGTTATCATCAATGAAAACAATGTACCTAGGGGCATGTGATGGCCAATGGGTATTGTAGAAAAAGTCTATGAGGGAAATGATGGAGTTGTGAGGGTGGCGGATGTCCGCACTGCCCAAGGTGTTTTCAAGAGACCTGCAAGAAGACTCCATCGACTCAACATCTGTATTGACGAAAGACAATAAGTCAATACCGGGGGGGGGGGACAATGTTACTGATAAATAATAAAGATACTCTGTATTCATATGATGGTATCAGATACTCTGTATATGATGGTATCCAAGATAATAGTAGTGATCAATCTGATGTTTTCTATCTGAACTGAGTCTTGTTAAGTTTTGTGAATATATCGTTTCTATATCGAAAATAGTATTCACTTCATTGTAATTGATAGCATTCTCTTCCGGAATTCCCATTTCTTCTCATGAAACTAAGAACCCACGACGCAGGCAGGTTAACGGTGTCAATGAAGATCTTGTTGAAATTACTAGGGCACCAACAACCTGGTTGAATTAAATGCCACAACAGCTCAATAAGCCTGATCTTTATTGGCTCGCTTCATCAGGATCTCGTATACAACATTAAAAATGATATTAAATCAATCCTTTTGATTACTAAAAAACTTACCGTAATCATCAAATCTTATATCTAATCTGACTATACTTAGCTGCTGTAGAAAAAACTTTGAGCTCGCACTTATATATATATATATATATATCCATTTGGGGTCTAGAGAATGTTTGAACGTTTAAAAACGATTATTTCCAGAATCAAGTATACAATCATCAAACTCTCAAGTTTGACCCAACTCTCAAGTTTAACCGATAGATGAACTAACAGGTAGATTCCTGATTATTTTATTTCATTATCATTTCCTTTGTTCCAGGCTCTTATGCAGTGCAGTGCCAAACCCGTAGCACGCAGTTTTATCAGAAGCATTTTCAATTGTCTCAAAATGTATACTAATTCTGTTATATTAATGAGATGCATGAGGCGTGAGATCTAAGACCACTACTTTGTGAAATTTAGACGTCTGCCAGAAGCCAATAAATACTTATGTAAATTAATTTGGATTCAAGATTCACTTTAACAATTGAGAAGAATATATGAGATGATGGATTTTACCAGGCTTCGTGTGCAAGACTAAAAGTTTTGGTCTAAAATTGATCTTATTCATCATTCTGCAAGGAGACAACACGAATTTGATATCAACAATCTGCCACCAGGAACATGATATATTATCGTTTAAAAAAGATCTTATTTGTTGAAACTTAGGCCTATAGTTCAATCAATAATTAACCATCTCGAGTATAAAATCAAAGATTAGGTAATATTAATATAGCTGCCTACCACGAACATCTGAAAAATACGTCTATTTTAGTGGAAAATGTACCTATACGTCTTGAAGAAATCTAAAAGATGTCTCTGAAACTTGTACCTACGTACGTCTTTGAGATGTAGTCACATACTATAACTTGTACGTCTCAAAGACGTCTTTAAGACGTACTATGGCTGATTGGGTAGGTTTATATGTTGAACAGTTCAGTCAGGCCGAGGCCACTTCTCTGCTTGATGTTGCTCAATGTGCACATGAAAAACATCAACAGTTGGAATCCTTGCAGTCTCACCACCACATATAAACTAGCATAGATATGTGAAACTAGTTCCTCAGTAAGGCACTAAAAAGTTGATGCTCAAATTGGGAAAAAGAGAAAAACTATATCATCAATAGGTACTCTGTAAATTGTTGTAACTTCGGCGCAATATTGTGAGGGGACAATGGAAGTGTTGCTATGTGTTAGGAATGGGATATCGAAATTCATACATCGTTTTCAAAATCAATAATTTATTCACATCCTCATCCTTCAATTTGGCCTACTACATCATATTATATATTTATGCTATAATTAACTATAGATATGAATATTGAACATATATAAGGCATATGAGAATATCAATGGATAATAATTACAAGTTAAAAACATACAAAAAGATGATTTGATAATGACGATGGACAAGAAAAAAATTGGATTGGAATGTTATCATTTGACTTCATATTTCCACTGAATTATATAAGGTAATGTCACTTTGGTTCGGGGTCCTTAATTGCTTTGGAACTATCACAAGTGAATGATACAGTAATTGCAAATCTGGATCCTTTGGTTACCCTTTCTACATAATGGGGATTTTCTGACCCAGAAGTGAACATCAATACTCTTCCCTTTCTTGGTTCAACTGTGGTATTTTTAGTAGGTTTCGATATGTCATCTGTGAATACAAATCGGCCACCTTGAAAGTCTTTCGCGTAGTCATTCAAGTAAAGTAATGAAGTGTAGTGGAACGACTCATAAGTGATCTGAAATGAAAAATGAAGTCATCATTACATTTTGAAACTATACGTAAAATTGTTGTATCATGAAAATATGATGATTGATCGTTTTCAGAATAAGTCGGAAAACTTCAGAAGTAGTTCATAAGGATGCGGCCACTGTTTACCAGCGACGACATTGCTTGAAAGATGAGGGTAGTCAAACCTCCCATTTAATCGATGATCGGTAAAACCTATTCCAATCAACGTGATCTTTCCACTACTTTTTCAGTAGAGAAATTTTCTGGAGAGGAATTCACTTTTTCACAATGTTAATCGAAAATAATTTACCAAAGTTCATTAAATCTTGCTATTATCCTATGATATTCAATCGCATCAGCAGATACTCATTTTCAACCATTGATTTCTTGAAACGGTAGTTGAACGTACTCCTTGACATGAAATAAGTAAAGGAGCAGCAACAGTTCTAGATCAATACAGGTCATTTTTCCCCAGATTCTACCGAAATTTACAGTGTTGCCATTCGAAAGCCTCATAAGAGCACGTGTGTTAGAGAGAGATGAAAGATATGATTTTTCCGTAGATCTACCTACTTTTTTAAGGTCCCAAAACGTCAAAATTGGCTCAAAAAGTGGTGGGGGGCCCGGCTAGTCAATCAGAAGGGACCAGGCCCCGCCCCTTCATATTTGGCAGGAAATTCAAATTTGACAGTTGACCTAACCTAACCTAACATTTGAGCCTCCTTTGCGACCCCTTAGGCCTCCTTGGCGCCCCCTCAGGCCCCTTTGCGCCCCCCATGTGGCCCCTTCCTTGGTGCCTCCTAAGGCCTCCTTTGCGGGCCCCTTTGTGCTGGTGTCGTAAGTGTCGCTGTACTACCGAGCGGCGGTAAATTCAAATATTTGAAATTGTGCGTCGTCATCATCGTGAATGTCGCTAGTGTCGCTGTGCCATTGGTCGGCGGAAAATTCAAATATTTGAATATTTAATACGTCGTCATTATCGTCTCTAGAATAAATATTTAATAAAAAAAGCTACTCATCGTGTCGGGATTGGAACCGGAGACCTACAGATTACGAGTCCGCAGCGTAGCCATCTAAGCTACCGACCACCACATGATATTATTAGAAGTTGGAAAGTAGACATGCGGCCGCGAAGCGTGACGTAGCGACGCAGATTCGCGCGGTGCGGCGTTGTCAGACGTTACAAGAAATCTCGAGATCCTGTTGCATGTGCATGTTGCCATTTTCCGGTGTGGAGAGAGCGCGACGTAGTCGAGGTAGGTCCGCGGTCATCGCGCTGCGCGGCGTTGCCAGACGTTGCAAAAAATCTTGAGATCCTGTTGCATGTGCATGTTGCCATTTCCAGTGTTTTCAACACTTAGCAGATTCGCAATGAGGCATTTGACGTATGACATAATGAAGGATGTCTCGTGGTGCATGTTGCCATTTTCCGGTGTGGAGAGAGCGCGACGTGGTCGAGGTAGGTCCGCGGTCACCGCGCTGCGCGGCGTTGCCAGACGTTGCAAAAAATCTCGAGATCCTGTTGCATGTACATGTTGCCATTTCCAGTGTATTCCACACTTAGCAGATTCGCAATGAGGCATTTGACGTATGACATAATAAAGGATGTCTCGTGTTAGAAAAAAACATATACAGTACGTCTCATCGTTAAAGAAAAACAAAAATGGCGGATGCTTGTCAAATGTCAGGTTATGGAGTCTCCGTGTTAGAAGAAAAATGTAATGCTGTTTGTCAACGCATCAAGATGGCTACCATGACGTCGCATGACAGGTGGGGTCTCTTCAGATGTTTACATAAAAGATTTGCTATACATGGTGTCTCAGGAACATGTTGAAAAACGTATATAGGGTGTCTCATCGTTTAAACATGGCGGATGTTTGTCAACGCATCAAGATGGCAACCATGACTTCACATGACAACTGGCAGGAGGGGTCTCATCAGATGTTTACATGAGAGATGAAAATAAGCACTTCCGGTTTGAAAAAATCAAGAGCATTGAACTACACAATAATGGAACGTCAGGCCTCTTTGGTGGACAGCTGTTTAGCTCATCATTGAAGAGATAGCTGGAGGGGGCGTAATAGGTGACGTATACTTAGAAGATTTTTTCATTAGTTTCTCATTGAAAAGATGGCTATACAGAAGTTCAATACTATACTTTCTCTACACCTATAGGGTGAAGCAAGGTCAAAGTCGAAAACATATACAGAGCGGCTAGAAAAGTATAAGGCGACCGAAAAAAATATACGAGGTGGGTCAAATGACTTTTTCACTTGTAGGCCTCCGATTTCGATAGTTTTCGAGTATGTAGTGTGGTTCAGAGGTACGATTAGGAAAATTATGTTAAAAAGGCATGTTAGATATATTTTTTGAGCTAGAGCATCGAGTGATATGTCAAATCAAATGGTTCGATGTACAGGTCGAGAATCTGAAGTTGTTTCGTATGTAGGTGCTATAGGGAGGCGGGTAATCACGATAATCGTATCTCAAACTCATTTGGTCGAGGAAATAAAACCTGTACAGCATTACTTAGTGCCAATACAATACAAAAGTATCAAAATTTTCCTTATCGCACTCAGATCTATGATTCCTCGAGATCTGAGTGCGATAAGAGATTCAACTACACCAACGGCTTTCTTAGATCTTGTGCAACACTTTGCAACACGAATCACTCCAACCAAGTGTCTAATAAGCTAGCTGGAAGCTGAATCCGGTCTCCACTTCCGATTTCGATAATTTTGGTATCAATGGATTCGTCTCGATGTCAAGATTCATAATTAAGCATTTATCGACGTCAAAAATGTATAGGAAGCTAATTTCTTTGCTATTGAAGATAGCAGACCATGCGGGTACTCTAATGAAACGATTTCTCCCTTAGATGTTGATTATGACTTCAAAAATAACGTGATGAGATTCCCAACGATGATGAGCATGACGATGAGCATGAGTGTAAGATGATGACTCACGTTTTCAACGTTTTTCGTTATATGTCAGGTTGGTCGATCGGTTAAAGGCGCCTAAGTTGAACTCCGGTTCCGAAATGATACGTGGGTTCGAATCCCAAACCTGACAATTTTTTGGACGTTTGACCTATGACATTTAACGCTTCCACTCTCGACGTTTGACGTTTTTGACGTTTCGTCGTTTCGACGTTTGACGTTTCTGTGACGTTTTCGACGTTTGACGTTTTCGACATTTGCAACGTTTGACGTTTTCAACGTTTGACGTCTGTGACGTTTGACGTTTCCGACGTTTGCGATGTTTATGACGTTTGATGTTTTGACGTGTTGACGTTTTCGCCGTTTAAATGTTTCTGTATATCTTATCAAGATGTTGTGGACGGAATGGCGTGCAAGAAATGCAAAACTTTTGGTTATTGCGTCTGCGCATGTAAATCGAGACGCAAAAACAGAATACTTGAATGTTTTGTGGCAGTTTTCACATGGCTGCGGCAGAGTATAAACAACAGCTGGAAGAATTCCAGAAGAAATTAAGTGCACTCTACGTGACAATAAAACTTTACGAAGATAAACATTTAATGATTCGAAATTTTTCGAAAATCACTCTACTGGAAGACGTTATCAGTACCAGACGTATACCATTGCCAAAGACGCCCACAACAAAAAAAATATGGCTATTTTGAAAGCAACATACGTATTGCTGTTCGCAATTATGAACAATATATTGTACATGAATGTGCCGAACAAAGTTAGCGAAGCGGGAATTTGTTTCAATAATCGATCATGTCAGTGGATTGGTATGAGAAGAGGGTACATCAATGATGGTCGGATGGAAGTATTCTCAATACAAGTGCCGAAAAACGCAACGAAATATAGAATTCGTTTGATTTTCGATGATAGGACCTTTGGGGAGCTAGGACAATGGCAGTTTTTCGAAAACACATCAACAACAATTATTCCGACATCCCCAGCACCAGTGGACCATGAAAAATTCGTCACATCATCGAATATTATATCGAATATTAATTTAGCATTCATAGTCGTGATAATTCTGATAAATATCATTCAGGTATTTTTCATGAAGAAATAAAATCGAATATAATCAACTTGTTGTGCATATTTTCCGTTTAGAATTCACTGAGATTTGGTCGGTAACTTCCTGTGATAATGATGAAGTCTCATACGATTGCGGTTGCTGTTTTTTTTCCAACGATTCAGATTGTAGCGAGAACATCCTGTTTTTGCGGTTGATTGTTATTCCAACAGTTTAGATAAGGTCGAGAATATCCTGTACATGTGGTCATATGTTTTTTCCAACATTTCAGATAAGTTCAGAGATATCCGGCAAATGTGGGTAGATATTGTGTTCTATTTGGTTTTTACGTGGTGAGTAAAACCGCAGAAAATAACGAATGTTATTCACATATCGCGCGCGTTCAGTATCCCCTTTTCCCCACATATCTTTCTGCCTATATAACCAATGTCGCAACGCTCTAACATCCATTCGAGCATCGCAGCAGCAGCTCATTGAACAACAGTCAGTGCTATATTGTGTGTGCGTGCATCATCAAAAAATAGTAAGTACCTTTTTTATCAAAGTGCTCATTTCAATCTCCAAAGTGTACGTACATTATAGTATTTTTTCATGTTATTATTTGAGTTCTCATTTGTATTCTCAATTAGCCAGGCAATATCGCGCAATACAAAATCTTTATGAACATTCAGTAGTTCACGCAAACACAAGTTCTGCATTATCTATGTTACATTAAATATCAACAAGTGTTTCTCTAGAACATGTAAAATCAAAACATGTAAAATCAAAACGATTCTTATAATGAAATCCTGCTGAATGTTCTCACGAACGGTGGCTTCAGATAGATGGATGGATATCGAGCTGTTGGTCAGTTTCACCATTTTCAAATCGTTCGATTTGATTATTTTGAAATGATGCCAGTGAAATTTCAAGTACGAGTCGATTCCCTCATCATCGAAATATTATTTACATAGGTACATGCCTCATATAGAATATTAATGTTTCCCATTAATC